GTATAAGACTCGTTTTTAAAAGTAAGCGGCGATAATTTTCTTAGCTAGCTAGGCCTAGGCTAAGTATATATACTAGTTAAGCTAGATCTACTTCGAAGACTACTTTATAGTAGATAAGAGATAGCTTTTTTATTATTAGTCGTCTTATTAGTATTAGTATCTTAGTAATAGAGCTAGGCTTCTAAGTCTCTATATTCTACTATACTATAGACTACGTTCTAATAATAATATAGTCTAGCTACTAAGCTATAAGTTTATATATACTTAAAGAAAGAGAGTTAGTAGTACTATAAGAATAAAGCTAGAAGTATCTACTACTATACTCTACTACTATCTCTTACTTCTACTTACTATACTCTTAGTAGTTATAAGATAGATAATAAAGATTACTAGATATAAGAGCTCGGTTATATAATTTATCTACGAAAAGATTAAGTCGATAAATATAGAATATTAAAGGTTCTCTCTTTATCTTTATTATAATACTAGTACTTATATATTACTATAATAGTTTCTATAGTAATCTATAAGCCGAATATAATACCTATCTACTATAGATACTATAGTATATTTCTAGTAACTATATTTCGAGAAGATTTTCTATAAACTTATATACTCTCTTTATAGCTAGGTATATATATAGATCTAAGTACTTACTAATTAAAATACTTCTAGTATATAATACTTAAGAAAGATCCTCTACTATATAATAGTATAGTCGACGCCTATATATATAGAACTTTATCTATAAATTAGAGCGATAATATACGCTAATAATCCTATAATAACCTAGTAATAGAGAGCTATAATATCTAGAATAATAAGTCTAACTATCTATATCTAATTACTATAGATATATTTAATATTCGTTTCTTTATAAGTATAGATTTAAAGCTATAAGTAGAGAGCTATTTATATCGCTAATACTCTCGATAATACTTCTAGCTATAGTAATACCTCTATCTATCTCTAATACTAGATAATAGGCGCTCGGAATATTATAGGAAAGATATAAGTATCTTTCTTTTTAAAAATAAGTAGAGAACTTAATAGTTAGTAGCTCCTTAAATTATAATAGATAATAGGTAAGGTAGCGGCTTATATTCTAAAGATATCTAATC